ATCAGTAACAGAAACTGCATTTTTAACCAAATGCGTTAGAAATGTGTATAGCAATATACACACGTTAATATTACAAAAACTTGAGTGGGCAGGTGTGCATAAAATTAGTATTTTTTCATTAGCATATGCTTTCGGTTTTTATTATAAATTAAAAAATAAACGACAAATCATGGCCAAGGTTGACATTAAACTTGGAACGTCACTAGTGGCGGTGTATGATGGTGCACCAGAACACCTCACCACTTTCCTCGATTCTGTTAATTTATTCAATGACACAGTAGAGGCAGATTTTGCAAATGCTACCGCAGCACAAAAGCAAGCTGCTCAACAAACAGTACTAAGGTTCATTAAAACGCGCTTGACTGGAAAAGCACGCCAAGCCGCGACAGATAATCAAACACTCGCAGAAATGCTAACTGCAGTGAAAGAGCACTGTGTGTCGAAAGTGACACCAGATAATTTAATTGCACAGTTAAGGACATTGAAAAGGGGTGAAAATTTGCCAGAATTCTGTCAACAACTTGACAAAATAATTTCCCAATTAAAGGCAGCATACTTGAGAGATGACATACCTCAAGAAACTGCACAAAAAATGGCAACAAAATCGGGAATAGAAACGCTGATCCGATGTGCCAAGAACAATGAAGTTAAAACAATCCTGAAAGCAGGAACGTTTCATTCACTGAATGAAGCTGTTCAAAAGTTTCAGGAAAATGAGACAATCAATACTCCAAGTACGGTCTCACAAATTTATTTTGGTAACTCGAGTAAAGGAAACCAAAACAGAGGTCGTGGAAATTTTAGAGGAAACAGAGGACGTGGAACATTCAATACACGTCGCTATGATTCCCAAAATTTTCAGAGAGAAAATTTTAACCAGTCTCGCTTCCAGAGAGGTAATTGGAATCCTCGAGGTAACTGGATTCCTCGAAGTAATTGGAACCAGAGAGGCATGTCAGACCGAACATGTTTATGGCACAACAAAATTTTCAGGAACAACAGCTACAACAGCAAATGCAACATCTACAGTTGCAACAGCAACAAAACCTGCAACAACAGTTGCAACAGCAACAGCCACAATATCCACAATCAAATATCCACCCTTTAGGTGTGCCTTTCGGGCAGCATACGCAATAAACGTATCTGCCTCGAATTTTGTATGCATTAATATTGATGCATCAGAAACACCGTGTATCTTTATGGTTGACAGTGGATCTGATATATCAGTTATTAAAGCACACAAAATTAAACCAAACCAAATTTATTTCCCGGCTAATAAATGCAGTGTTACCGGTGTCGGAAATGGAACTATATGCACTCTAGGTGACACTACTATAAAAATCATAATAAATGACCAAACTTTACCTCAGAATTTCCACATAGTAGATGACAATTTTCCCATGCCTACAGATGGAATTCTCGGTAGAGATTTCTTTACTCATTGGAGATGCAATATTGATTATGACACATGGATGTTATCGATTAAAGCAAAGGAACATACCTTTGAAATACCGATAACTAACCATCTTAAAGGAAACTACGTTATTCCTCCACGCTGTGAGGTCATTAAAAGATTAAATTTACCGAATTTAGAAGAAAGTGTAACCATCGCAGAAGAAATACAACAAGGAGTCTTCTGTGCCAATGGTATAATTAATAAGAAATATCCATTTATTAAAATAATGAATACCTTAGACGAAACGATACAAATTTCTAATAATTTTGTACCAAAAATGGTAGCACTCTCCAATTATCAAATATTTAATGTTAATAAACCTTCAAACTGTAACTTACGAACCCAAAAATTATTAAATGAATTGAATTTGCAAGCATTAGACCCAAATATAAAAGGGAAACTACAAACGCTTTGTGAAGAATTCAATGATATATTTTCATTGAGCAACGATGTGCTAACTGAAAACAATTTTTATAAACAAAAAATTCATCTGAGTGATCTGAATCCGACATATATCAAAAATTACAGGATACCCGAAGCTCAAAAACATGAAATGGATATCCAGATACAAAATATGCTAGAAAGCAAAATAATTCAAAACTCTACTTCACCATATAATAATCCAATTCTTTTGGTACCTAAGAAAACTACTACAGGCGATAAAAAATGGCGTTTAGTAGTAGATTTTCGTCAATTAAATAAAAAAATTACTCCTGACAAATTCCCATTACCCAGGATTGATGAAATCCTTGACCAGTTAGGAAGAGCGAAGTACTTTTCAACGCTTGACCTCAAGTCTGGATTCCATCAAATTCCTTTGGCAGAAGAAAGCAAAAGGTTTACAGCTCAGGACACTATGAATTTAACAGACTACCATTTGGGCTAAATATCAGCCCCAACAGCTTTCAAAGGATGATGACGATTGCTTTAAGCGGTCTTCCTCCTGAGATTGCTTTTCTATACATCGATGACATCATAGTCATCGGATGTTCAATAAATCACCACATTGCAAATCTTAGAGAAGTATTCTTACGTTTGAGAAAATATAACCTCAAACTGAATCCTGAAAAATGTTATTTTTTAAAAATGATGTAACGTACTTGGGACATCACATATCTGCAAAGGGCATAGAACCTGATAAAAATAAATATTCAGTTATTGAAAACTTTCCAATACCAAACAATTCTGATGAAACACGCCGATTTGTAGCTTTTTGCAACTACTATCGACGTTTTATTCCCAATTTTGCTCACATTACTAACCCGCTAAATAAACTTCTCAGGAAAGGCGTAACATTCACTTGGGACAATGAATGTCAACAAGCTTTCGAATTACTTAAAAGATATTTGTTGTCACCTACTATCCTTCAATTTCCTGATTTTAAAAAGGAATTTATTTTGACCACAGACGCCTCAAAAGTAGCATGTGGAGCAGTACTAGCACAGCTACATGACGGTGTTGAATTACCTGTTTCATTTGCCAGCAAAGCTTTCACAAAAGGCGAATCGAACAAGTCAACCATTGAGCAAGAATTAACTGCAATACATTGGGCAGTTAAACATTTTCGTCCATACCTTTATGGACGTAAGTTTAGAATACGAACCGACCATCGACCACTTGTTTATTTATTCTCAATGAAGGAACCTTCATCCAAGCTTACTCGAATGAGGTTAGACTTGGAAGAATTTGATTTCGATGTAGAATATATAAAGGGAAAAACCAACATTATTTCTGACACACTTTCGAGAATTCAGATTAACACTGATTATCTCAAACAAATGTATGTCATAACACGTTCAATGGCTAAAAAGAATAAACCAACGCTTAATCCTTTACCGCAGGAGCCTGATCAACTCCATGTTTACGAAGCATTAAGCAACCACGAAGCTTTTGAACTACCAAAATTATCATTTGCATACGATAGAAACAAGTTGAATCTTTTGCTATATAAGAAAAATTATACAAGTGAGTTGACCTTATGGTTCAATATCCTAATCCAAAAAAATACAAATGAAATGTTGCAAAATATATTCAAAACGATTGAGGCCTCAGTCGAAAACATTAATAAAAATGAATATAATAGAAGAAACAAGCGAACAATTGAACAAATAGCTATTGCTAAAAGTGATTATATTTTTAAATTCGCAGATATGAAATTGTTTAAAGAAATTGGTAATAAAATTCTTCGGAATATAACCATAATTATTTATGATAAACCTAAAATATTATCAAACATAAATGAAATCGAACAGGTATTGAAACAGTACCACAATACACCAACCGGAGGACATTTAGGCATAAATCGACTTTATAAGAAGATCAAAGCCATGTACTCTTGGCCAGGCATGAAAAGAACAATATCAGAATACGTGAAGTCTTGCTCTTCATGTTTACTAAACAAACACTATATTCCAGTAAAGACACACTCTACTATTACGACAACACCAATAAAGCCATTCCAAGTTGTATCGATTGACACGGTAGGACCTTTTTCATTATCCGGAAATGGAAACCGGTACGCCGTGACGATGCAATGCGATTTCACTAAATATGTTATAATAGCACCTATAGCTGACAAATCAGCAACTACCATGGCAAAAGCCGTAGTTGAAAAATGTATACTTGTCTACGGACCAATGACAAGTATCAAAACCGATCAAGGAACCGAATTTAAAGCGGTATTTGATGAAGTATGTAAATTGTTAAATATTACACATACATGCTCAGCTGCCTATCATCCACAAACTATAGGCGCATTAGAGAGAAATCACAGGTGCTTAAACGAGTACCTGAGAATTTTCTGTAATGAGAGAAATACTGATTGGGATGAATGGATCCCGTATTATAGTTTTTGCTATAATACAACACCAAACCTAGACCATGATTACACACCGTTTGAATTACTATTCGCTAGAAAAACCGAAACTTTTAATCTTTTATCAACAAATATATCTCCATTGTACAATTATGATGCTTACGATAAGGAAATGAAATTTAGGTTACAAGTCGCACATGCAAGTGTACTGGATGCCATTCAAAAAACTAAAAGTAAACGCACAAATAACTTGAATAAAAATATTAGCCCAACAGCAATAAAAGAAGATGACATAGTTTATCTAAGGTTAGAAAATAGGAACAAGCTTGATCAGGTTAATGACGGTCCATATAAAGTAATAGATACAAACTTTTCGAATGCTACTATCATAAGCAATAATAACAAACGTTTCGAAGATCATAACGTAACGGCGAAATAGTGAAAACGTTAAATTCATCAACAAACTAAATAAAAAAAAGTCACATTCAGCAACTCTATTGAACTTAGTGTTTAAAAATTCCCTCGTTGTTGACGAAATTCCCTGATAATTCAAGCATGTTCCAGATATTTTGAAATTTCCTGATGATGATTGAAATCGAAACCATCGAAGTTAGACCCGAGTTGCACACTGTGAACTCTATTGGCCCATCCACGCTAGAGGAAATGTGTCATCTCATCAAAGGGCAAAGAAAAGAAAAAACTCCACACCGATCTTACAAATAACACTAGTTCAAGTCTTGTCTTTCTATTTATTCACGGCCCATTTTGATTCAGGTAGAGCATCATGTCGATTTCCTCCTCCCGCAGGACGGCACGCTTCTTGAGGAAATCCCGCTGGTCGGCCCGCCCGAAGCGAAGCTTCATATCATCACAGGCCGCCGGAATGTTCAGTACACGCTGACAGAGTTTCTTCAGCAGGGGGAATGCATTTTCGTTGCGCCAGTAGGATAGGACGTCGACCGGCGATTCCAACTTGACGTCCACGTACTGGCGGATCTCGTCGTCGACCACATCCGCCGATTCCACCTCCAGCGAGGCGTCCATAAATTCGTAGAATTTGGTCTCCTTCCGGATTTCGACGTTGTCCTTCTTGCCGCTGGAGTAGAGCTTCTTCAGTTGCTCTATTCCGTCCTGATCGCGGCGCAGTTGGGCCTTAACGATCGCCAACGTTTCGCTGCGTTCCTCTTCCGAGAGAAACCGGAGTCCCTTGAATTTCGGATCCAGGAAGACGCCTATCTTGTGGTACTCGTGCAGCTTCAAGCTCTGCTTGATCTGCATCTGGAATGCTTCTTTGATCGTCTTCATGTTCTCGTCATCGGCTTCCTCCACTCGGAAGTGCCGTTCCAGTTTCTTCTTCCACAGGACCACTTCGGTGATTGTCACGTTGCCATCCGACACCAGACTTTTGATCGGTTCCTTGAACGGAGCCAAGATTTTCTTCATCGCATCTTCTTCCTCGTCGTCTTCCGAGAGGAAGATCTTCTCGACGTACTGCTCGCTATCGAATTTGAACATGTCCATAATCTTCTTCATGATGCCCCAGAGGGCCGTCACCACGCAGGGAATCAGTTCGAAGTCGTCGCTTCGAACGTCCAGCTTGGTTCCGTACACTAGCTTAAGCGGTTCGTTGTGTTCTTTTTCTATCATATCGATAATTATCGTGGGAAGTCCCTCGATGAAGGACTCCAAGTCTTCCACAGGCACAGTCTTTACGTTGATTTTGCGGAAGTAGTAGTCTTCCGCGACGGTGTAGGAGTTGATCGTAGCGAAGGATTTGTTTTCCACTTCGTTCCGGAACAGATTGAAGCTGTAGCTGAGGTCACAGTCCACCAGGGCTTGATTCAGCTGGATGCGGGCCTGCTGGTAGATTGTGGGTAGGACTTGGTCCATCAGTCTCGTTCGATCGGCTAGGAATGCAATGTCCTGTTGCCCGTAGTAGACTCCGATGTTGACCAACATTTGAGCAAAGGTTCGGAAGCTGTGGCTGTCGAAGAGATCCACGCTGCTGAGATCTTTGTACAGGAAGCAGGCCTGCTGACGCACCAGGTCGTCCACCACGTTCTGAGGCATGACAGTCGTTTGGAACTTGACCGCGTGTGATGAGGTGGATCCAACGGTAGCCGCTTTCGACGGGAGATTCCTGTTGGACGGTGGCTGTTGTTCGATCTTGACTTCCACCCCGGATGGCAGTTTGATTTTGCACTTGTGCCTCAGAAGTGAACCGGTTCCGGTGCTGGCCTTGTGAAGCACCAACCAACCGCACTCCAGACAGCGGACGTAGTTCTGTTTGACTCCCTTGTAGTACATCGGCATATACCGCGCCCAGGTGCTGTTGTTGTTGTGATGCTTCCGGTACACCAAATCCGGATCCTTTTCGGTGATCTTCTGCTCCAGCATATCTTTCGTCAGCAGATTAACGGGGCCCGGTTTGAACAGCTGATCGGCCGTCAGCTGGTAGGCCAGATTGCCCATCTGCAGGTGGAGGGCTTTCTGCGAGGCGCTAAAGTGATGCTTCCGGAACGGAGGCGGCTCCTCCAGCACCCGGCTGGAATGGGTCTTGATTTCGATTTCCGGCTCGTGAGGTGCTTCGTCGTTGGAGAAGTCCTCCAGGACCTGGGCGAGGGTACTGTTGGCATCGAGCGAAACTTCCGAATCGGCCTGGAAATAAGAGGTCAGGTGTGATTGTGTGTGGAGGGGGGGGGGGGGGGGGTGAAGGAACGTATGGTCCTCGACGAGGTGTATGTGAAGCGTGACTGTGACTGTGACGGAACGGTGTTGTTGCACTTGCAAAGACATATTGCTCACACGAGAAGCTGAGTTTAAAGCCATTTGCTGGAAGAGATTGAAAAGAAACTGAAGAAGCTTCCGATCAGCTTCTGGGTTTCGATACTGACTTTCTTCAATTACATTGGTTTACAGAGACTGATTTGGGGAACTTCCTGGACAAGCTTAATGGTCCTTTAGTCCTGGGAGGTCAAGTCCAGTACATTTCTGGTGAAAGGTTCGACTATTTACTATTTGAATTGTCTATCTTTTCTGGCCATTTAACGCATTATATGGGTTGTAAGTTATTAAGATATTAGCGTTGGGCGATTTTCAATCGAAAATTGAAAAATCGATTCTTTTGGTTCATACCAAAAATCGACTGGATCGATCGTTTTCAGCATAGAACATCAATTTTTGGACCCTTGGAAATATTGGATTCCTAAATGACGTTAAACATCGATTTCCAACCTCTGCACGTCGTCCACGTTCTGAAAATACCCATATTGTTGAATATTTATCAGTTTTTCAAAAATCGGAAATCATCCTGGACGGAAGTCTTTATGTTAAACTCTAAAATGGCGCACATAATCCAGCCTCAACATATCATTGATTTCAAAACATCCATATAGTAGAATTTTCGGCAGTTTACATAAAGCCGGAAGTCGCCATCGTTAATTTTAGAAAAATCAAATCTGTTATCTTGGATTTCCAAATGGCGTCAACCATCACCACTTCCTGTCATTTCCATTCCCAAAATTCCCTATTAGACATTTTTTGGTCTTTAACCAAAATACGCCATTTTAAATTTTAGAAATCCGTGAGTTATTCTGGACTTTCAAGATGACATCGCGGTTATATATTAGATAAAACGAATATTATAGTATGTTAAAATCGCACACTTAACCAGGTATCTTGAGCACAAACTTCCACATGTTAAAAACCATCTCTTACATATAAACTGATTCAAAAGGGTCGATCCATTATTTTGATCGCCCAATGCTAAAAAACTCGCCTTTGATATGAAATATTAGTAGGCCAATCCGGAGCTGGTTCATGTTCTGGAGTTCTTAAATTTTTTTGTGTTTCAAAATTTTCCAGAATCTTGTTAAAAAATTTCTTAAATTCGCATAATTTTTGCTTTTACAAAAGCTTTGTGAACTTTTAAGAATTTATTCAAATTTTAAAAAGTTCTGTAAATACTGAAGAAGTTGGGACGAGCTCTTTGAGGTTCTAAGAACTATATAGAAGTTATCAGAATTTGTGAGAACTCAGTTGAAATTCCGGAAACATTCTTTTAGTCCTTGTTGCCCCAATGAAGCTTGGAAAACTCTTCTAAAATTCCGGGGATTTTAGAAGTTTAGGAATTTTTCCTAAAATTATTGGAACATTCCTCAAGAACTTTTCGGAAAATCATGAAAGAACTTTTCTAGAGTTTGTAGATGAACTTGAACCCTGAAGTATTCTGGAGTTCTGAGATGAACTACCCCCTCAATTTCTGGGAAGAACTTCCCTCATGGTCTGGGAAGAACTCTCCTAAAGTTCTGGCAAGAAGTTCCATGCAGTTTTGAGAAAAACTTCCCTTAAGTTCTGGGAAGATTTAACTGAAGCTCTGAGAAAAAAAATCTTAAACATATCGATTAGAACAAAAAACTAATCGATTAATAGCTCAATAACGACATCCCTAATTGTAGGCTTGAATGTTTCAAATTCTTTGAGTTCCAGGTATTTAACGCATAATATGGTTTGAGTTTCTAAGGGGATGAAACGTAGTAGGCTGAGCCGGCGAACGATCGTGCTTATTTTTGTTGTCAAGATTTTTTCTCGTGTTTCCCCGTTCGGAAGTGCTTTTCATGAAGAACAATCCACAGTTTAGTTTTCGAGATGTGGATTTAAATCTGAAATGTTTGCTTCTGTGGAACGTTCTACTAGTGAATTGCAATCGAGCTTTACATTCCCGCGTACCATCCAGGTCGGAAAATTTTAGAAAATTTCATCTCTGAAGTATTGGGAAGAAGTTCCCTGGAGTTCTGAGATGAATTACCCTCTCAAGTTCTGGAAAGAACTCCCCTCAAATTCTGGGAAGAACTTCCTTCATGTTCTGGGATTATCTTCCCTCAAGTTCTGGGAAGAATTTTTCAAAATTTTTGTGAGGAACTGTTCTAAAGTTCTGCGAAGAAGTTTTCCTAGAAGCTCACTTTGTGAAAACGGCTGAGGCAACTTGTATGTGATTTTTTTAGTCACAATCAAATTGTTGCAAGATCCTGTCATAGCTTTGGGCTGCGCTCAAATTATAAGAAAAAGTTCCCTCAAGTTCTGGGAAGAACATCTCTGAAGTCGTGGGAAAATTTTCCTACAGTTCTACAAAGTACTTCTTTAAATGTCTCTGAAGACTTTCTATAAAATTATAGCAAAAATTTCTTCTCAAGTTGTGGGAAGAACTTCCCTGGAATTGTAGGACGTACTTCCTTGAACTTGTACGAAGGACTTTTCTGAGGTTCTGGGAAGAACATCCCTAAAGTACTTGGATGAACATCCCTTAAGTTCAGAGAAAAAATTGCCTAATGTTCTGGGAAGAAGTTCCTTGCAGTTTTGAGGAAAATTTCCCTCAAGTTCTGGGAAGATTTAACTTTAGTTCTGAGAAAAACTCTAGAAAGAACTTCCCTTAAGGTCTGGGTAGAACTTCCCTAAAGTTTTGAGAAGAACTTCCCTAAAGTTTTGAGAAGAACTTCGCTAAAATTTTGAGAAGAAATTGCCGCAAGTTCTGGGATGATCTTTCTTCAAGTTCTGGGATGATCTTTCTTCAAGTTCTGGGATAAGTTTCCCTTAAGATCTGGGAAGAACTTCCCTTAAGCTCTGGGAAAAACTCCCCTTAAGTTCTGGGAAGAACATCCTTGAAGTCGTGGGACAATTTTTCTTAAGTTATAGGAAGTACTTCCTAGAACTTCTGAAATTGTGGGAAGTACTTCCCTGAACTTGTGGGAAGGACTTTTCTGAGGTTCTGAGAAGAGCTTCTCTAAAGTATTGGGTTTATCATCTCTTAAGTTCAGAGAATAAAATTCCCTTAAGTGAGGAACTGTTCTAAAGTTCTGCGAAGAAGTTTTCCTAGCAGCATACTTGGTGCAAAACTGCTGAGGAAACTTGTATGTGAATTTTTTAGTCACAATCAAGTTGTTGCAAGATCGTGTCACAGCTTTGGGCTGCGCTCAAATTGTAAGAAAAATATCCCTCAAGTTCTGGGAAGAACATCTCTGAAGTCATGGGAAAATTTTCCTACAGTTCTAGAAAATACTTCTTTAAATGTCTCTGAATAATTTCTATAAAATTCTGGGAAGAACTTCTTCTCAAGTTGTGGGAAGAACTTCCCTGAAATTGTGGAACGTACTTCCCTGAACTTTTAGGAAGGATTTTTCTGAGGTTCTGGGAAGAACTTCCCTAAAGTACTTGGAAGAACATCTCTTCAGTTCAGAGTAAAAATTCCCTAAAGTTCTGGAAAGAAGTTCCATGCAGTTTTGATAAAAAAAATCCCTCAAGTTCTGGGAAGATTTAACTGAAGTTCTGAGAAAAACTCTAGAAAGAACTTCCCTTAAGGTCTGGGTAGAACTTCCCTAAAGTTTTGAGAAGAACTTTGCTCAAATTTTGAGAAGAAATTACCTCAAGTTGAACTTTCTTCAAGTTCTGGGATGAGCTTCCCTTAAGATCTGGGAAGAACTTCCCTAAAGTTCTGGGAAAAACTCCCCTTAAGTTCTGGGAAGAACATCCTTGTAGTTGTGGGAAAATTTTCCTGAAGTTATAGGAAGTACTTCCTAGAACTTCTAAAATTATAGGAAGTCCTTCCCTGAACTAGTGGGAAAGACTTTTCTGAGGTTCTGGGAAGAACTTCTCTAAAGTATTGGGTATATCATCCCTTAAGTTCAGAGAAGAAATTCCCTTGAGTTGTGGGAAGAATTTTCCGAAATGTTTGTGAGGAACTGTTATAAAGTTCTGCAAAGAAGTTTTCCTAGCAGCGCACTTCGTGTGAAACGGTTGAGGCAACTTGTATGCGTTTTTTTTTAGTCACAATCAAGTTGCTGCAAGATCCTGTCACAGCTTTGAGCTGCTTGGGTTTCTGAGAAAAACTTCTTTTAAGTTTTGAGAAGAGTTCCGCTCAAATTTTAAGAAAAAAATCCCTCAAGTTCTGGGAAGAACGTCTCTGAAGTCGTGGGAAAAATTTCCTACAGTTCTAGAAAGTACTTCTTTAAGTGTCTCTGAAGAATTTCTAAAAAAATCTGCGAAGAACTTCTTCTCAAGTTGTGGCAAGAACTTCCCTGGAATTGTAGGACGTACTTCCCTTAACTTGTAGGAAGGACTTTTTTGAGGTTCTGGGAAGAACTTCCCTAAAGTACTTGGAAGAACATCCCTTACCAGAACTTCAAAAAATTTCATCTCTGAAGTATTCTGGAGTTCTGAGATGAACTTCCCTCAAGGTTTGTGAATAACTCCCCTCAAATTCTGGAAAGAAATTACCTAAAGTTCTGGGAAGAAGTTCCATGCAGTTTTGAGAAAAATTTCCCTCATGTTCTGGGAAGATTTAACTGAAGTTCTGAGAAAAACTCTAGATAGAACTTCGCTCAAATTTCGAGAAGAAATTGACTTGAGGAATGAACTTTCTTCAAGCTCTAGGATAAGCTTCCCTTAAGTTCTGGGAAGAACTTCCCTAAAGTTCTGGAAAAAAATCTCCCTAAAGTTCTGGGAAGAACACCCTTGAAGTCGTGGGAAAATTTTCCTAAAGTTCTAGGAAGTACTTCCTTAAAGTTCCCTGAAGAGTTTCTTTAAAGTTCTGGAAAGAACTTCTGGAATTGTCGGAAGTACTTCCCTGAACTTGTGGGAAGGAATTTCTGAGGTTCTGGGCAGAATTTCTCTAACGTATTGGGAATAACATCCCTTAAGTTCAGATAAAAAATCCCCTCAAGTTCTGGGAAGATTTAACTGGAGTTCTGAGAATAACTCTAGAAAGGATTTCCCTAAAGGTCTGGGTAGAACTTCCCTGAAGATTTGGGAAGAATTTTTCTTAAGTTCTGCAAAAATAAATTCCCTAAACTCTTGGAAAAAAATTCTTTTAATTTTGGAAAGAACGTCCCTAAAGTTCGTGGAAAAACCTCCCTGACGTTTTTTGACGAACTTTGCTGAAGTTCTGGAAAGAACATCCCTGGAGCTCTGAGTCATTTAGTCATTTGTGAAGTTCTGAGAAGATCTTTTTCGAAATTCTGGGAAGAACTTCCCACAAGTTTTGGGAAGAACATCTCTGAAGATCTGGAAAAAACTTCTCTAAAGTTCTGGGACTAACTTCTTTGAACCTCTCCTGAAGTTTTGGGAAAAACTTCCTTGATATTCTGGGAAGAACATACCAATAGCGACGCCGGTGGTGTAGTTGTAAGCGTGAGTGCCTCTCACCCCAAAAAGCCTGGATTCAATCCCAGCCAGCGCCGTTGGGATTTTTTGAGGCATAACATCTCTGATCACGCCTTCCTTCGATTCGGGAATCAAAACCGTTGGTCCACGGTCCATGAGTTGATGGGTCGATAGGTAGGGTCCAAGTGTAGGAGCTGCCTCTCTGGCGTCGGTAGAATTGGTACGGAAAACAAGATCGACAGAAAAAAAATAAAGAACATCCCTAAAGTTCTGTTATGATTTTCTCTGGATTTCTGGGAAGAACTTCCCTTCAGCTCTGGGAAAAACTTGCCTCTAGTTGCGTATAGAACTTTTCTACAGTTCTGGGAAGAACTTTTCTACAGTTCTGGGAAGAACTTTTCTACAGTTCTGGGAAGAATTCCCCAGAAGTTTATTTCAGGACATTTTTTCAAGTCTTCAGGTTGATCAGTTTTTATTTTGAAGATCTTTTACCGGCCAACAATTTAAATCGATTCGCTCTGATTTACACACATGATGATCAGAAATTATTTCAAAATACACCAAAATTCAGTACCTCGGTTTTCCAGTACGGAATTATTTTAAAGATTTTTTAAAGTTCACGGACTTCCCTGTTACTTTAAGTTTGCAGTATTTTCCAGGAGGAAGCAGACTTCTTGAATTAAGTAAAATTTGCCTGTAGTTCGTAGACATACTAGAAGTTCACTGACTTCCCTGAAGTTCCCAGATTTTTCCTGATATTTGCAGAATTTTCGTGAAGTTTGCAGAACTTTCCACAAAATTTACTGAACCTTCCTGAAATTGGTAGAATTTTCCTGGAATTCTTCAAAAAATTTCTGAATTTTTCGAAACCTTCCAGAAGTTTAGAGAATTTTCGTGAAGCTCACAGGCTTCACTGAAATTGGCAGAATACTTTTGAAGTTCGCAGAATTTCCCAGAAACCCGCAGACTTCGCATAGTTTCGCAAATTTCCGTGAAGCTCGCAAACTTTCTATAATCTAGTTCAAGTTTTATAAAGTTTACAGATTTCTTTAAAGTTCACCCCTTCCCTGGATTCACTGATTTTTTCCTAAAATTTGCAGAATTTTCGGGAAGTTTGCAGAATTTTCCAAAAAAATGCTATACTTTCCTGAAATTCGTAGAATTTTCCAGCAGTTTTTGAAATTTTTCTGAACTTTTCAAAACTTTCCAGAAGTTTGTTGAAATTTTCTGAAGCTCGCAGAATTTTAATGAAGCTCATTGACTGAAGCTCATTGTCATTGAAAGGTTCGGAATTATGATTCGTATAGGCTCGCAAATTTCCGTGAAGCTCGCAAACTTTCTATAATTTAATACAATTTTCGGAAGTTTTATACAGTTGAAAGATTTCTTTGCAGTTCACAAACTTCCCTGAGGTTTTTAGATTTTTCCGGAAATTTGCAGAATTTCTCTGATGTTTGCAGAACTTTCCAAAAAGACGCTGAACTTTCCTGAAGCTCGCAGAATTTTCCTGTAGTGGTTGATTTTTTTCTGAACTTTTCAAAACTTTCCAGAAGTTTATTAGAATTTACTGAGGCTCGCAGAATTTACTTGAAGCTCACCAACTTCACTGAAATTGGCAGAATACTTTTGAAGTTTGCAGAATACTTTTGAAGTTCGCAGAATTTCCCGGAAATTCGTAAAATTCGCATAGGTTCGCAAATTTCCGTCACGATCGCAAAATTTCTTTAATTTAGAACAATTTTCTGACGTTTTAGAAAGTTTACAGACTTCGTTGAAGTTCACAGACTTTCCTGAAGTTTCCAGATTTTTCCTGAAATTTGCAGTATTTTCCTGATGTTTACAGAATTTTCCAAAAATATGCTGAACTTTCCTGAAGCTCGCAGAATTTTATTCGAGTTAATAAAAGTTTTCCTTTTTTTTTACTTTCCAGCAGTTTATAAAACTTTCCAGAAGTTAGCGGAACATTCCTGAAGTTTCCTGGAGTTTGTTGAAATTTCCTGATACCAGAATTTTTCTGAAATCCGTAGAATTATCAAGAAGTTCACTGAATTATCATGTAGATCTCTGATTTTTTTCTGAATTTCTCAAAATGTTCATGGAGGCTTAGAATTTGCTTGGAGATTGCAGATTTTTTTCCAAAAACGAGCTAACTTTTTTTGAAGTTCGCAGAATATTCCTGAAGATTGCAATATGTTATTATAGCTTTTGAAACTTTTTTGTAGTTGTGCACTGTACTGTAGGAAACTTGCAGATTTGTTTAAAAGATTTTTTTCAGAATAATTTTCAAATTTGCAGTCTTCCTTGAATTTTGAAGAAATTTTCATAAATCTACAAACTTTCCTGTATCTCGTAGAATTTTTCTGAAATTCATAGACTACCTTAAATTTTCCGAAGTTCGCAGAATTTTCCGTGTTGGGTATATTCATCACTGCGACCATTACTTTGATCTATTATTCCCCGTTTTTATATTGCTTTATCAGTATGTCGTATCACTATTTTGTGAAGACTTACCAAATGCATTTTCCCAGTCAGGTATTACATTTGGGATGAAATATACTACTCGACTGGGACCTGCATTCCAAATATCAAAGAGTTCTGCCAGCCCCTTATGCAGAAAAATACGCCTTTTATTGAAGATTTCTGTACAAGAGCATAGCAGGTGTTCAGAGCCTTCCTTTTCTATGCCACAGAATCGACACATATTCTCTTGCAGTTTTCCTATTAACTTCAAATGATATTTACATGCACAATGTCCTGTTATCAAACCAGTATAGACTTTAAGATCTTTCTTTGATAATTTAAGAATTCTGCTAGTCATTGAAATGTTCGGAGTTATGAAACGTTTCGAATGGAAGTGTTGTTCCAGTTGGTCTTCACGTTAATTTTTTTCCCATTTCCTCATCTCCATTTTAAGAGAACAAGCAGAAACTCCACAGAATGGTTCTGATCCTATGAATTGTTGAGATGATTCTAGCCTGGCTAACGTCCACACAAACAGTACCACTAAACTCTCAGCCGCTTGAGGTTAAGCAGTTTAGGCATCTTAAACGATTGAATAAGTCGATTAAACGCATGTTTAGAACTCATTTTGGGCACTTTTCCAACAAATTTTGACAAAATGGGCGGTGAACGGGCCCGACACGGTGTAAACCTTGCCAGTGATTCACCCTTCCTTTTGCTTCTTCAGTGTTGATCACGACATCACGTCACGACGACGAATTTCAAAACATGGAGCCTCTCTTCGATTTCGTGCCCGTCTTGAAACCGTGAGCGTGAGTTCCCAGTCGCTTCAATCCGTTGCCAGGCCGCTCGCTCTCGCACTCTCAAGAGTTCAACCAATAACGGTACCAAAACAAACCACCTGCTCTCTATGGATTTTTCCAAGCTCTCCCGCTCTCTTCTTTCTCAACTCAATCGTCACTGTCACTGGACTGAAATCGAACACAAACAACCACCGACCGAATGATGTTTCACGAACTCACTTTTGGCCACTTGTTTGCGTTCCATCCCGTTCGTTCGACCATCCATCCTCGCTCCCTCCCCACACCACATCCACAAACCCAGGCAAGTAGTAACAACACAACAGCGAAAAAGCAGGCAAACACCGGATAATGCCTCTACTCGCTATGTGCAGCCGTTCGTCAGTCACTTTCACAGTTTGTGCACGAGGTCGGCCATTTTGGAACTGGCATACCACGTCACGAATCACGCTCGACACTCACTTCGCGTAATCGCGAATGACGTGCGTGTAACACTTACGTGTATATCCGGATCGCTGGCTTCCTCCTTGATTTGAATCACTCCGACCGGCATGTAGATTGTTGACGACGACGACGACGATTGATTACTGCTGCTGCTGCTCCTCTCCTTGCTGTCACGCCTCGGTCCGTCTATGCTTCTGCTCCGAAAGTCACGTACCACCGTCGGCGGCGGTGGCGGTCCTGTTCCGTCGTCCATTGCGGATGCCACCAAGGTAGAACTGTTGGTGGTGGACGATGCCGACGACTGCGTCGGCTGATCACGTCGAATCATCTTGCCTCCTCTTCAATCGCGGGTTCGATGGCACACGGAAACACCAACTAGTCCAGAGGGCTTCTTTGCAATTTGCCGTCGTTACTCATCAACAGCATCGACGAGTCTTGCATGTCCCCGCTCGCACTTCCCTTCGCTCCACACTCTGTATTCTGAATGATTTGTCACGCACGCACACTGCCACGAACCGAGTTAAGAAAATGCGAAAGAACGAAAACTATGCACCTCTACCACTGAGAGAAGCTGTGTGTTTCACTTCACATCCACTGCCCGTGTAGAACCGGATCGTTGCTGTTCTACTGCTACACGACTATTCCGGCACGCTTCCAACCATCGACTGACTGGTCGTGAGAGAGTGAACGCGTACAGAACTCGCTATGAGGTGAGAGTCACGTTTTCCACATGGCGACCCTCACTGCCTCACTTCCTCATCAGCGTCGGTGGCTCTTTGTGCACAACAACAATCACCGCACAATCACGTTCCTTTGGCAGACGGACGGACGAAAAGTGCTACACGCGATTACACGAACGACGGTGAAGGCATGGAACAAACTCACTCAAAAAGACGACCGGTAAAACATGAAAAGCGAGCACACTGCTTCTGCTCTGCTCTTCTGACTGGAACACTACCACGAAGGTAAAATTATCCGTCCGTACCCACAGGTAGGAATCGCCGCACAGAGGGGTATTTCGGTAATCTAGCTGGCCAAAAGGGGATTTTTCAAAATAAACCTGACTTGATTTATGAGAAAGTTAGGCTCTGAACCATTTGCAGATTTTTTAACTTTTGGTTAAAATTTGACTGATGGAAAGTTATCGATTAACCCTGCTATCTGAGCGTGGTTATTTCTGACCGACAAGAAGTTAAATTTTGACAACCGTGGCTAAGTTACGCTCTAAAACCGATCGATCGGTAACGCAGGGATTTTCAAACATAAGAAATAACTTTCGAAATGTCACTTTTAACCACGAGTTAAATTTCACAGCCTTAGAAGAAACTGAGAGGTAAGCACATATCATCGGATTTTTGGCGATTTTTTCTAAAGACCACTTTCCGCTTACTCCTACACAATTAATTCATATCACATAACATTGCATAACAGGTCGGTAACATTTTCAAATGTACCGTTGTTGGAGGCGAACAAGCCCCAGGCTGAAAGCCTCCCTAATAAAGATAAATCAATCAATCAAATGTACCGTTACACGTGAGTAATCAATAGAATTTTGTTTTTTTTTTTAAAGAAATGGGGTAAACTGAACAAATTCAGTACAAGTTCGGATTAAATTGACTATTTATTGGATTGTCCACTGATTTATAAACTGTAGCCGAACAGTTCTGTAGTTCAAAATTTACCGACCGGTTGCGGTCTAGATTTGTGTGTATTGTATGATAAATAACGATGCTTTTTTGTTCAAGAGCCCCGATGACAATTACTTAATTCATTATAACAAGCACCACATTGGATAATCTTGGCCGAAGTAAGATCAATTAGGAACCTCTGTACAACTAAATTCCCCAAGGTATCAAATAAATTTATCAATTTTCCAGGAGAGACCTATTTAATTACCCCCCCAATTGTTAGTCCGACTTCTCTGGAAGTCAACTTGTTCCAGATGTTAAAAGCAACACCAAATAGAACACGTTACGAAGACCCCAAACGACCCGAACGGCCGACACTAATATTTCGTGTTACCGGTTTGTCAGCTAATGGAGCATCTCAGGGAGCCACAGAAAGAACAGATGGCAGATTTTGGTTGTATCTTACAAAAATTTCACCCAAAGTTTCTGAGATGGACATTCAGAACCTCGCTAAGGAATGTTTGCAGACACTACATTCAAAATGACTTATCCCCAGGGGCCAACCGTTATCCACTTTAACGTTCGTATCGTTCAAGGTAGGTGTTAGCCAGGACCTAAAGTCTAAAGCAATGGATTCCTCCACTAGGCCTCAAGGTATTGAATTGGGTTCTTTAGGGGTATTGAGGTAATTGTATAGTCGAAATCCAAAATTTCATCAATTTTGAAGCATTGGAAGTATATTAAATATTTATTTATTTATTCGTCAATCAATCAAATCGTAGACTACATATTAACATTAGGACTTATGTTCTATGACTTCACAGGGTTTTTGAAATATATTTTTAATTCTGTTGAGGGCATATTTAGGTCACTCATTTCACAGTGATCATTATAAAAAGTCATCATTCTGAATTTAGCGTAATTGCTCCGATGGCGATCTACTGCGAACAACTGTAGATTGCGTAATTGTCGGGAAGGTGCATACAAATTTAACCTAGACAATAGATCAGCTGAGTCAATGCGTTGCGATATTGTTAAATAAAGAAATCTTTGCATAATCCCGACTTTCTTTCAATGTTTGAATGCTGATCAGCAAGCAACGTTCTTCATATGACGGGAGAGGAAAAGCCGTCCAACCTAACTTACGTAGTGCATATAATAAAAATTGCTTTTGGATTGACTCTATTCGTTCCTCATGCTTTTTCATATAGGGTGACCAAACAACGCTACAATATTCTAAAATTGACCTCACATTAAGCAACGTAAAGCGATTTAATTGTATAAGGATCTTAAAGGTGGAGACCGAAACGTTTTATAAAATTAAGCATATTGCCTGCTCTATGTATTATTGTGTTATAATGGTCCACAAATGTCAATTTAGAATCTAGAATAACACCTTAATCTCTTACATTTTCACATTTTTGAACATTTTAATTACCTAATGTAATACAAAGATGTTGTTTGTTTAGTTTTCTACTGTACGTTATAAGATTACATTTTTTAATATTTAGTTTCAATAGACTTTTACTACACCATCTGTAGAAAACATGTATTTCATTCTGAAACACATTCATATCGTTATCGGTTCCTATTTCTAAAAATAGCTTCATGTCATCAGCGTATATAAGTACCCTGATATTTTTTTAAAATAAGAGAGACGTCATTAATGTACAAAATAAAAAGAAGGTGACCTAGGTGCGAGCCCTGTGGAAGCCCTGACGTGACATGAATTGGCTTGGATGTTTTCTCGTTGAATCTTTAAATTTGCTGGCGATCAACTAAATACGATTTAATCCAGGTGAGGAGCTCCCTCTCAATTCCCATTTTTTTCTAATTTAAAAATCAGCATTGGGATATCAATTCTGTCAAACGCTTTGCTGAAGTTTGTTTATAGCGCTTCTACTTGGTTACCTCTGTCCATTGCATTTAATACGAAGTCCACGAATTCCAAAAGATTTGTGGTGGTTGAACGGCCTTTAAAAAAGCCGTAATGTGCACTAGTTATTCTTTGTTTTATTTGGCCAAAAATGTTTTTATTTATAATTGATTCGAAGAGTTTTGGAATGCACGAAATGATAGCAATCCCACGATAATTTCAAATATCGGATTTTTTACCTGATTTATATATGGGTATTAAATAAGGTTTTTTTTTTTCATTCCTTCGGGAATATACCGGATTCAAGCGACATATTAAATAGCCAGAATAAAGGGGTTGTGAGTTCAGTTGCTAAGTTTTTCATAAAAATAGGTGGGATTCCATCTGGTCCTGAACCTTTAGTGGCGTCCAAATCTCGTAGGCCATTCCAAATATCATGAACCGAAATGTTATTAACGCCAACAGTAGTTGGAAAGTCAGGAAAATAAGAAAAATATTCATAATCACGATCATTATCTGAAAATTTCGTGTATGTTTCTTGAAAAAAAGTGGCGAACGGATTACATATATCATCAGAACTATTACCTTCCTTTTCATCAATATCATTTTTGATGTAAAGCTGCACGATTTCATTTTAGTGTTGACGTAATTGAAGAAGTTTCTTGGACATGATTTAATTTTATTCTCAGTTTTTATGTTATACTCAGACAGCGCCAAAGAAATTGCATCATTTAGTTGATAACAAATACTTAAATACTTTTCGAGATTATCACGATTTTTATGTTTTCTGTATATTTTGTGAGCTTTTTGTTTACGATTTTTCAAGTTAATTATACGATTGTTGAACCAAACCGAATATTTGGAGGTATAATTGCGTCGTCTCCTTTTTATTGGAATTTCCTCGTGAATTACGTCAAACAGAATTTTATAAAAAATCTCCACTGCACATTCAACATTTACCTGATCCTTCAAAATGGTTTTCCGATTTAGTTCATTGAATTTATTTTTAATATTATCATAATTAGCATTTTTGTAGTCGAACACATTTTCATACTCACTGTCGTTGGGGTGTTGACTGTCATGAACAAATATGGAATACTCGATTGCTGTGTGAAATGCTTTATTTTTCCATAAAGGAGAAATAGATTTACTTACACAGAAATCTTCATGTATATTCGTTAACAAGAAATCTAGGAAACAATTCTGTTGGTTTCTTACATGGTTTATTTGGTTTAATCCTAAAAACGCCATTTTTTCAAAAATAAATTGTAATGTTTCGTTTTCTCCAATGGCTGGGAGAAGAAAACTCTCATGATCTGAATCAGGAAGCATTGCGTTGATTGAAATCTCCATAAATATGAATTTTGAATTCAGGGGGAAATTGAAATACGATTTCTTCAGCTATTTGGAAAAAGTTTTCATACGAGGACTTACAAGCGTAGTCTGGGGGAAAAAAAGACTGTGGCAAAAATATGAGTTTCACTAGCTATATTTGTCTTTACCCACACATGCTCAAATTCTTTTACTTTTGATGAGACAATAAGTTCTGAAATAAATTTTGAAGAAATAGCAATAAGAACTCCACCCCCTGACATTCTTTGGGTTTCGAGTAAGTCACGATCATCTCTGAAAACATTATAATCATTTCCAAAAGTTTCCCGGTAATTGTTTCGGACGAAAAGTTCGTTATCCGCGTCGTGCGCGTAGAAGCCAGAACCTTCTGTTGTGTTTGTGTTTGTGAATACTGCTATGCAGCAGTAAATTGATTGAGTGTGTTAAATCCGCAGCCCCACTAGAATATCGCTTCACAGTAAATGAAATGCTCTCCATTCTAGCTTTCCGCATCCGCAACCTGGCCCTGAGGCTGAAGCAAAAGAAAATAGTGCAGTCCATTTTCGTCCGAAACGATAAGATATCTGTGCGGCTGGCCGGACAGAAGCGTTATGTTCCAATAATGGACTGCAACGAATTGCTCAAGCTAACTGGGACTGATGCCAGCATAGATGAGTCCTCAGTGTTTTTTGACGCCTTGTCTGCAGACGTATCATCCCAACAATGACCACCCACCACACGCTAACCTTTCTCAAAATACGAATATCTCCAACAAATATGCCGAACAATAAAATCTCTAATCTACGACTTGGACA